CACCACGCCGGCGGCCTTAAGGCAGAGACTCCCCCCACCCCCTTATGAATACAAAACACGGACGCACGCGCACGCCAAGATTGTTTGCGCCGCTCGGCTTAAGATGCACATCCCAGAGCCCCCCCGGCTCTCCTTTCGCCTTCTGACATCAGCAAAGAAAAACACCGCCGCCCTCGTGCCGGTCGTATTAGCCCGTTGCGTCAAATTGGATGACTCTTCACGCAACCGCGTAAAGGGCCGCAAACCTGACATGGCAGCGGGAAAACCCCTCCCCCCCTCAAGTCGTGGCCACATACCGTGGATGTCAAGGGCTTTTTCACACCGCACTTTGCACACCGTCGCCAAAAATGTTCGTCGGATACGCGATACGAGGAGCTCAGGCGGCACCCCTCGATTTTCAATGGCTACATAAAGGGGTGCCGGCCTGCTCGTCAAGAGCCCCTCCCCCTACCCAGCCCCGGTTTTCCATGTCTCCCGACGCACCCGATAGCGCCGCACGTTTTTGCAATGAGGGATTGTGAAATGGCATCTTCTTCAGAAACTGATGGAGGAGCCCCGATCTCACTCACATGTTGAAAAAAAGAACCCATTCTTTCAGAGGGAGCACAAAAGTTCAATCCGACCAAACTGGACTCCCACTTGAGCAGTCCGGTCCGCGTTTGGGGCACCCCTCCTCCCGACTGGGGCGCTGCTGCACTTGAGAAAATATGAGGACAAACCAACATCCTTAAATCCGTCCAATATTTCCAGTTTCTTTTTTTTTTTTTTTTTTTTTTTTTTAATGCTTGTCTCGTCGCTTTCTTGACTGACGGACAGATCGCTGTTTGGCAAACCACTGCGTGGCCAGGTGGCCCGAGCCAACATTTTGCCGCCGATAAGTAAGCTATCAGAGGATTAAATAGCAGAGTAAATGTTGGCGCCCGCCCCCTCGGAGAGCAGCGGAGCGGCCCCCACCCTGCTCTCATTCTACTTGGCCTAATCCAAAAGGCCGTTGACTCAGAGAGGGAGTGAGCGAGTGGCCGTTCTTATCCGAACCCTGCACGGCGCTCCAAGAGTGCTCGCCGGCCGGCATCAAAATGAGCCCATTCCAATGGAAAAAGGGATCAGCGCCGTCTCCCGAGCGCTCTCCGGCGGCCGCGGTGTCGATGCTTATCGCCGCCCCGGACGCCTGCCCGCTCCTCTCGGCGAAAGGCGGAAGTGGGAAGGAGGGGCTATCTGGGCTGGCGCTTCGGAATTGCTCCCGTTGTAGCTTTTCTTCAGAATCGCTTTTTAATGCCTAATCAGGCATTAAAAAGCGATTCACAGGCGTATGGCGAGAGCTACCTGAAGGAACTGGCGGCGTGCTTGAAGGACCAGGCCACAAAATGATTGCCTGTTTTTTTTCCCTCTTATCGCTCTGTACGAAAGGTGCAAAAATGGAAACAAGACCGAAGCGCACCCGCTCATCAAATTCAAATGAAAATGGGACATTTGAATGTTCCTACGCGCACTCCGGTCGATTGCAAAATCGGTAATCCCGCGCATCCGATGCACCAGCGGGGCCCCATCTCTGACCGTCCCCGTACCTTGTTTCATTTGGCCCCACCTACCGTACGCAACTGCACCGCTTCATTTTTTTTCTTGTATTTTTTTTTTTTTTCTTTTGACACCTCGGCACACACTTGGCCATCTTGTGAAGTGCGCGCCCCCCGCGGAGGCGGGCCCGGGGGTAATCCCGGCCTGCGACTAAAGTAGCCGTGTGAGAGGACAGATTGTCAGTTGATCATGGCCAGCCCGGAGCCTTATCCCTTATTGGATCGGCCGTGGAGGAGGCTTAGGAATTATCTGAGGCCTCGCTTAATGTGGAGTCGGATGAGCGCCGGGGAGTCACACGGCCCCAAGACAGAGACGCCGGATACGTGTGTTGCGCGTGCGCGTGCGCCGGGAGGAACGACATGAAAGTGCGCGTGCACTAAGCAACACTTAACCCCATCTTGACACCATCTCGCCCGCGCCGGGCCCTTGTCTACGTTTGGAACGGCCCGCTCATTTCCCTTTCTCGGCGGCGCCTTTTCTCGTCCTCGATTTAGCCGTCCCGTTTTGTTTCGAATGTCTTTGCAAGCGACGCTTTGATGATGATTAACGAGCCATTTCATCATTTCGTTTTGTCATCATTTGATTTTTCAACCCGTTTCCAAACAAGCTCTGATCATCGCGTTTCAATTCATCATATCTTAGGATCACGTTTTTAATTTGCTTTTTCATCTCTGTTTGAGTTTTTGTCATTGAATATCTTGCTTACATTCTGTGCCGTTTCCTTTTTGAACCCGTTTTAAAATCACAACAGTCGCTCTCATTAGATTTTGATTCAATTAAATGTCATGTCATGACTATTTGAATACTTAATGTAGGGATGGGCGATTGCTGATATGAGGTATCGAAACAAGCCGATACCAGCCACCGATACTTTTGGCGTCCTAAGCGGCGGCGGCAACTTCACGTGGCTTAGCTGCCGAGTTATTTCCGGCGGTAGTGCCTTAAATTGTGCCGGGATCCCCGCCTCCCCTTCGCTTAGCGGCTAATTCCCTCACCTGAGAGGATGTCTGGGTCACCGGGTGACCTCACGCGCACGACGGGCACACTGGCGATGACCTACGGCTAGCGAGGCTCAGATGAGCTCTGGGCCGGGCCAAGACGTAAGCCCCGCGGCGTCGCCGGGGTCGGCGGCGGGTCAGCGGGCCGTGAACGCGCCGGGCTTAGGAAGCCGCCCTTTGCGTTGGTCTTCACCGAGTCTCCTCAGGTCAGACTTGCGGTGAATGCTCTTGGACGTCAAATCCTGTGTTTGAAAATTGTTGGCGGCCCCCCGATGACTCTTGTTCAAGCTGGGGTTGAAGTCTGAGGACTGGGGTGGCCGTGGCAGGCGCTTGATAGTCAGGTTCCCTCCACAAAATCTCAAGTTTCAAGGCACTCGAGGGCAGCCCCGCCGAATGTGGAGGTTTTGGGGCGGGAAGGGGCGTGGCCACCTTCACGGAAAAAACAACAACAAAAAAAAAAAACCCATAAAACAAAAACGGCCGTCTCGGAAATGGAAACCAGCCCAGCATTCCAAATCTGCAACCGTTGAGAAGAAAAAGCTGCGAGCAGGCCAATCGAATGCATTTGAACTCGGTGGCACTTTGCTTGTTGCGTTTCATTTGCCAATGAAAAGGTTGCAGCGCCGGTTGAAGCTGCGCGTCTGCTTTTCAGGCTAGCGCCCGCCACTCTTTGCTTCCTGCGCGAAGCTGACGCTGATGCACACACACACACCGGCACACACTTTGCTTTGCTCATCTCCTAATGGAAGGTGAGAAATAATTTCATTATCCGCAGGAAAGCGTAATCTGCTCTCGACTCCTGCTCCCTTCATTTCCTGCCGAGCACCTCGACCTGTGAGGCGAGCGTGCAGGCGGCGCCGTTCCCATCACCCGGGGGGCTATTCATCTTATTGGAGTTCGGGATTAACCCACCGTCAGATTGCCGTATGCTTTCCAAAGCTTTGCGACACCGCTTCGCCGCACGCGCACTCAGTGTCACGGCGCGTGTGGGGCCGCTAAGGGGACAAGTGTCTGCGCAGAGTTCGGTTCAAGCCGCTTGGGCTTGACCACGACCGTTGTTTGAAACGTGCCTTGAGGTCATCGGTCACTCGCGAAACCCCGCAGCAGCGGCGGCGAATGAAAAGAAACCCTTGGAAAGTTTCAGCTTTAGTCAGCCTCCCACAAGTGTCTTTTTCTAGCCGGCATGACTTTGACGCTCACGCCCGTGAGTGGTCACGCTCTTGTAGTCACTTTGCAGCGGCGACTTTATTTGATTGCGGTCGTGTTGGGCGGGCGGCTTTGAGGCACACCCGTGAGTTGGAGGGAATTGTTCTCGGCCAAGGAGACGCGTTCACGGCGCCATTCCAAATGTCAGCGCGTTCAAGCCCTTCCGACGTATCTTGACACGTCTGCTTTCGATCCCGGCGTGCGCACGTTCGGACACTTTATCAATAGGCGTTATTAAATCCCGCTTGCTCCGGCTCATCTCGGCAAGCGGGAGCAAGCGTGCGAGGATGATGCGCGCACACGCGCGCGCACACGCACACGCACACGCACACCCCCCGCGCTCACCGCTGTCCTGCCCATGACTTGAAGATGCAAGCGTTCGTAAGCCGCTTATTATATTGAGCGGCTCCCCTCTCTAGCAGACGCCCTGCCCTCCCTTGCTGCGTTTTGCTCTCCTCTTCTTCATTCGCTCACTTTTCAAGCGGCGGCAAGCATTCCCATCTTGTTCTCCTCTCGCACTACTTCTCACACACACACACACACACACACACACACACACACACACACACACACACACACACACACACACACACAAAGACGCCGATGCACCGAGGTGCCGAAGCCAAAGCGACTCCTTCGAAGCCAGAAAGCTCAATTTTTATTCAAATGAATGTTTGCTTCTTCTAGTGCCAAGGTATGTGTGCGTGTGTGTGTGTGTGTGTGCACGCGCGTGTGCGCACGTGAGAGTGACTGACATGGCGGGTCTGAGCAGAGCCTCCAAGTGTGTGTTACATGCACAGCAGAAGGAGAAGGGCTGAAGCTCGGTGATAAGCCAGATAGGCCTGCATGCTGTGATTATCACCCAGTGGACCTCCTGTCACACACACACATGCGCACACACACACACACACACACACACACACACACACACACACACACACACACACACACACACACACACATGCACAATGAGCGCGGGAGTGCGTCGCATGGATTTAGGACAGACAGAGATACAGACAGACAGACATGCAAAAGAATAAGACTTGGATGACGAGGCAAAGTGGAAGCCGGCAGGAAAAGCCCGCTGGAAAACAAACGATGCATCCTGTTGGTTTACGTCTTATTGGAATCAGTCATCGGTTGCTTTGGCTGACTCTTGGTGTGTGTGCGTGTGTGTGTGTGTGTGTGTGTGTGTGTGTGTGTGTGTGTGTGTGTTCCCAGGTGTGTGGCCATCCGAGGAGGTCATGGCTCATTACTGCCTGCGCAACCGCCACATGTTCAAGTAAGTTCACCACCAATCTGTCGCACAATGAATGAATGAATGAATGTACCGGTGTACTTTAAAAAAAAAAAAAAAGTCACCTCACACCTCACCTCCCAATAAACGGCGACGTTTTTGTTTTTTGCCCCATCTAAATCGCAAGTCATTCCTTTTCAGCCCTTGGTACAAGCTCACGGATTGAATTTTCACCATTTACCGGCTAAATCATTGCACTACATTAAGGAAGGCGTGCAAATTAAGGCCTGGGGGGCACACACGGCCCCCTTCTCTTGGTTTGTTTGGCCGCTTTAGCATTCACATGACCAAACGCCCGCTAATATGCCTTGCTAAAAGGAGATCATCAAAATGCCCTTTGTTGTTTTCAATTTTTCAGTTTCACTGCTTTATGGTAAATAGCAAAAAGAAAAAAAAAAAAAGGGTTTGTCCCTGAAGATTTTTGCCGATAAATCAAATCCGAAGCGGCCCTTTGATCACCTAAGTTTCTGATGACTTATGACGGATGACGCCATGTGGAACGTCACCCTTTGATCTCCTGTTTTTCACCTTCAAGTGGCAGGTGCTGGGCTGGGGGGGGAGCTCACGGGAAAGACGGCTATTGATTATCGGGCGGCAAAGTGAAGGTCATTGAGACAGAAAGTGAGAAAAAAAAAAAAAGGAGGCAGCGATGAAAGCGGACAAGGCCTGAGATGGCGGCGGAGGGGGAAGGACGGATGAAAGGCCGTCGATCAAACTGCCAAAGTCGCCTTCTCAACAAAGTGAATGTCTTCCCCTCTCTGTCCTCTCAGGGGCGCTGTCTGCGAGTTAGGAGGAGGCATGACCTGTCTGGCTGGACTCATGGTAAGACCCGTGCGGGCACACGTTGGCGGGGAAGGTGCCCAACGAAATGGGCCCTCACAAAACGAGGAGCCTCGGGATGGACACCGGAGAGCCCCCATTCCCACCCGCGGAGCTCTCACGCCACGCTGTTTTTTTTTTTTTCTCCCCCTTTTCACTGTCCTTTAGTTCATGTGCAATCGCGTACGTCCGTCCACACGAAAGAAAGACAACCGCTTGGAGAAAAATAGTCGACTTTGCTGCGCAATACTTTTTGTTTCTTTGTTGGTTTGATGGTGGCACTCGACAAATCCTCCCAATATTAAAAAGTCAATAGCGATACTAAAACGAATAAGACAAATGAAAACGAATTTGAACTTCTTTGGTCAAAACCAAATGAAAAGGAAGCACATTTGCAGGTACGGGTACGGGTGCGGGCGCGCCAACGTCGATGGATTCGCATCACCACGTTGCGGGTGAGACGGCGCAAGCAGAAATGCTTTCGATGAAGCGTCGCAATCTTGTTTCCGACTTGTGCGCCGCATTTCACGCGCGCGGGCGGGCGGCTGAAGTGGAACGCGGTTCGCATCGCGCGATGACATCGGCTCGCCGGGTCTCGCCACACACGTTGACGCGTTTATTAGCCGGGGTCTTAAAGGCCCCTCCGCATGGCCGGCGTGACTATCCCATCGATCGGCTGCGCGCGTGCGTGCGTTCGTGCGTCAAAAGCAGCTTTTCATCACCACCAGTCAATACGGCCGTGTTTTGACATCGCTGGCTGGAAATCCGTCGTTCGGGCGTCTCCCTTTCCGTGGCCCTCCTGTGTGTGTGCGCGTGTGCGCGCGCACGCCACCGACACTGCAATCGTGAGTTTGATTTCTTTCGAAGGGTCATGTGATCCATTTTGCTCACAGTCGAAGGGCTCGAATCCGGTGAGCGGCATGACTCCCGCGCAACGCGTGGCGCTTCAAACCCCCGACGTCGGTCACTTCACCGCTAAGTGCAGGGCAGCGGATCCGCGAGAGGGCGGTCGATCAGGGCCAACCGCACAGCCCGCCGCCAATTGTTTATTGAATGCCGGGAGAACAGCGAAACACGACGAGCACGCTCGCCCGGCCGGGGCTGCTCTTGACCGCAGCTTTCACCCACGCGCGGGCCGGCTGATTTCACACTTAAACGTTGACGTTCGTTGTTGGTGCACCAACCGATCGGCCGCTGATCCTTTTCAGCCGATTTCCATGGAAAAGGATGTGATCAGCATATGTCACTCGATGCCTTTGCTAGCTGATCGCAATGTACGATCGCCCCGTAGCTTGCTCCTTGTAGCCCCGTAGTGTCCCTTGCTACTCTCCGTAACACCGCGTGGGAAATTTGGAGCGTTTTGTTCCTCTGAATTTAATTCGTCAGTTCACTGATGGGAAATACTTGACAGATGAGTCCACGATTCATCGTGAGCGAGCAGTGGAAGATTGCCAAATGCGCGGCGAGTCCAGGTGATCGCTATCGGAACCGGTATCGGCCAGTCTTCCTCGCGGATGATCGCTATCGCAATCGGCAGCATCAACCCCAGATCGGAAGACTCCTAAAGATCCTCAAACAAATGTCAATCGGAGACAAATGTGAGCCTTTAAAATCGGGACTTGAGTCATTGAGGGAAAAATTTGCCGGTGGATGACGGACATGGCTCGCGGTTCCGCTGCTCTTGGGCTGCCTGGTCGGAATCCGGATCGTTCTGCAGCTGAGCCTGCAGGTTACTTCCTGCAGTGGCGCGGATGCTGGGACACTTTGCTGCAAACATGCGCGCACACACA